CCCGCCACACAAACACATGAACGTGGGGAGGGACGCCTCGCGGTGTCACGTGCCGTTAGAGCGGAAGGTCGCAGCCATGATAAGAGACCCAAAAAAGGCCTTCCTGTTTGTCGAGTGCTTTCTGAGCTGTGGGCAGATGTTGTCCCCGTCCAGGAAGGAAGTCAACGCCGCCGCGCTTCAGTCAGATACGAGGCGCGTTTTTGTCTCCAGCCCAGCGTGCGCCATCTTGAATGCGGAGCCATCTGGGACCCTTTTCGTGGCCCGCGGCACATGGCGTCTACTTGTCCAAGCTTGAGTCCAAAGTTGGGGCAGGTCATGTAAAGCGAGCGCAGCGCTTTGATCTTGCCATCGGTTTGCGGTTTTGCCCGTCGTGTTAGCAGATCTCTTCGCCGCTAGCAGCGAAGAGATCTCTTCATGGTCCGCAGTTGCGTATCGCGGAGCGAGCGCGAGTCTCTCGTCCCCAAATGTCGCTGGTGTTTTCACACACCGCCCGCCATGAATCCCTCCGCGGAATGCCAGCAGCGACTCGTCTTCCCATTTTCGGGCAAAAGCCCATTTCGGCTCCACGTCGACGACATCCGGAAGCGGGCTCGTTTTGGGGTGGGCGTGAGATTGACTTTGGCTCGCCTTAAAGTACACGGTTGAAAAGGGGGGGGGGTAAAAAAACTAAAGGAAAGCGCCATCCCACCACAAGCTCCCATCTTTCCGCACGCAGTCTCCGTGGACGACATCGACTCGGTCCGCAACGGGCGCCAGTCCGAGGGCCTGAACAAGCACACCGACCCGGGCGACGAAGAACGCTGCTTCTCCATCGTGTTCAAGGGCCGCAAGAAGGTCCTGGACCTGATGGCGAGCGACCGGGACGAGGCCGATCAGTGGGTGAAGAGCTTTGAGAAGGTCTTGAACAACCTGCGCAACCTGAGCCGCCAACAGAAGAGCGAGCAGTATCCTTGAGAAAAATGATGGCCCTGGGGTGGGGGGGCATTCGTTCGGCCGCAGCGGCAATGAAATCCTTGCATCCGACGGCCAGCTGGATCATCGACTGCATGCGCAGAGCGGACAAGAACGCCGACAACAAAATGAACCTGAAGGAGCTCAAGCGCTTCCTGCGCCACGTCAACATCGAGGTGGACGACGCGTACGCCGAAGAACTTTTCCGGGTGGGTACCCCGCGCCCGTCGCTCGCCGTCCCGCTCTGGCCCTGAGCCGCGTTTGTCTGTCCGGCAGAAATGCGACCGGTCCGAGTCGGGCTACCTGGAGGACTCGGAGATCGAGACCTTCTACGAGCTGCTGACCCACCGGGAGGAGATCGACGTCATCTACGGCAACTACGCTCGCACGGAGGGCCAGATGAGCGTCCGCGACCTGCTGGACTTCCTGCTGAACGAGCAGAGGGAGAGCGCCACCGCCTCGGACGCCCTCGGGCTGATGGAGAAATACGAGATGGACAAAACGGGTGGGCCCCCGGGCATTTCCCCCCCCCCCCGTCCTTATTTATGCACGGATGGACGGATGGACGGATGGATTGATTTCTCCAACACCCTCCCCCTTTCTCCATTCAGCCAAACAGAATAAGCGCATGAGCAAAGACGGTTTCCAGATGTACCTCCAACACGAAGACTGCTCCATCCTCAACCCGGCCCACAAGAGCGTCTACCAGGACATGACGCAGCCCCTCAACCATTACTACATTTCGTCCTCGCACAACACCTATCTGACCCACGACCAGCTCAAAGGACCCAGCAGCACCGAAGGCTACATCAGGTGGAGTATCTCCCGCCTATCGAGAGAGATTTCAGCGGAGAGCGCACAACAACGCGAAGCCACGCCGGCCGCTTTTACTTTCCGTATCACGCGGCGCGGAGAGTGCGGAGAACTCTTGGAAGTAAGCTTTTCTTTGTCTTTTTAGAGCTCTGATGAAGAATTGCCGCTGCGTGGAGTTGGACTCTTGGGACGGCCCCAACGGCGAGCCCGTCATCTACCACGGCTACACGCTCACCTCCAAAATCCTGTTCAGGGACGCCATCCGGGCCATCAAAGATTACGCCTTCAGGGTGCGCATCCGCACGCGCGTTCTATTCGCGGCTCCCGTGCTGTTCGGAAACTTTTTTCACAAGGGCGGTCTTACCTGGCGCCTCCGCCGATGACGTATCGGATATTTTGCCGGCGTGCTAACACGGCGTCCGTTTGTCGGCGCAGACGTCGGACTACCCGGTCATCCTGTCCTTGGAGAACCACTGCAGTTTGGAGCAGCAGAAGCTGATGGCCCACTACATCATCTCCATCCTGGGGGACGCCTTGGTCACCGAGCCGCTGGGCGACTTCCTGCCCGCCGCCTTCCCCTCGCCAGAGGTGCGCAGACGCACGCGCCCTTTCGCCCCTTTGAGACATTCCGGTCGGACGCTCGGGTGGAGAGGGTCGCCCCTCCGGTCCGCGTCTTCCGTCGAGCAGACCCGACGCGCGGCGGTTTGCTCGTTTGGTCTCGAGGCCGCTTTCCCACGAGCTTGTCGTGTTCCGCAGGAGCTCAAGGGCAAGTTCCTGATCAAGGGAAAGTGCCTGAACAAATTGAGCGCCGCGTTCAACGACCGCAACAACACGATCTCGGAGGGCACGGTGTCCGAGGAGGACGAGGCGGCCGAGCAAGAAGACGGTCAAAAAAGTCCCCAAAAGGTCTGGCGAAACGCACATGAAACATTCAAAAGCTGCTTTTTAAAAAAAAAAATATATATATATATATATATATATATATATATATATATGATGAGCAATTCATATTATCGCCCCCACGCCCTTCCCCCACAAAAAAAGAAATCAAATCTTAAATCGATGAGACAAAAGACTGGTCGTTTTTGGAGAAGAAATCGAGGAGTTCACATTTTTGAAATGTTGGGCAAGGAGGAAGTAGCGTATGAGGAAAAAAAATGCCACAAGAAAAGAAATCTCCGATTTGAAGATACGGCTGTCAGAATAGGAGAACAAATATTTTTTTAAGACTATGTGGGAAATCATTTAGTTCATCTTACAAAAAAAAAAAATCTGTTTTTTTAGGACGCCAGCTATGTTTATCGTGGTCAAAGATTTGCAGAAAAAAAAACCCATGTTGCGACTCACCGCTTTTTCCCCTCAGAAGTCCAAAATCCGACTGGCCAGGGAGCTCTCCGACGTGGTGGTCTACTGCAAGAGCGTCCACTTCAACGGCTTCGAGCACGCCCGGGACAAGCTGGACTTCAACGAGATGTCCTCCTTCAAGGAGAGCAAAGCCTTCAACCTGGCCGAGAGCGCCTGTAAGTTCAAAGGCAAATCCGAGGATCAGCGAGACGAGAGCGCGCCTTCACGACACCATCGTCGGTGACAGACAAGTCCAGACATGGATCGGCGCCATGACCTCGACATTGTCTTCTTGTCGGTTAAAATAGGTCAGACCGTTGGCCGGAAACAATAACAACAACACGTGAAGCCAACACGGAGCGTTTGGGAATCCGAGCCGGCCGTTTGGCGCACGCAGCGGACACATTGCCAAAATCCAACCATGCGCCGCTTCTCGGAAATGCCCCACTTAGCCACCGCTGAGTTGCACAGACACATTCTCTCTCTCACACACACACACACAAAAGTGTATCCAAAACCTCCAATGTCGCACAGATTGGATCAGATTGGTCAGCACACACGCGTAGCAATGTTTTTCCTGTGGAAAACATTGGCTGTTGTGCCGGCCTCGGGGTCTTGGGAAAAGCCAGGAATAATAGCATTCCGCCCGACGCCGACGGCAAGCGCCTTCCCCTTAACCGAAGACGCCTTGTGACCTTGCAGCGGGCGCCTTCACGCGCCACAACGTGGACAAGCTGAGCCGGACCTACCCGGCCGGCTCCAGGACTGACTCGTCCAACTACAACCCGGTGCCCATGTGGAACGCCGGTTGCCAAATAGGTGCGCCCCCCCCGCTCGGGCGTCCCCCCGCGTCACGCCGGCAACACGAGTGACGTGGCCTTTGTCTCGGCAGTGGCGCTCAACTTCCAGACGCCCGGCAAGGAGATGCACATCAACCAGGGCCGCTTCCTCGCCAACGGCGCGTGCGGCTACGTCCTCAAGCCGCAGTTCCAAAGGGATGCCGCCTCGCACTTCGACCCCAACGTCCTTTCTTTCGGACCCTGGCTGAGGAAGAAGAGCCTCCATGTCATGGTCGGGTGGTCAAGCGCGCACACACACATGCATACACCCCCCCCCCAAAAAAAAAAAAAATAATAATAAGCAACCTGCATTTTGGGATAGCGGGAGCAAATGGCGCTTGGATCACACTGAGGCTTGCATTCCGGCTTACCTCGCAGGTGATCTCGGCCCAGCAGTTGCCCAAGCTCAACGTGGACAAGCAGAAATCCATCGTGGACCCCCTGGTGAGGGTGGAGGTGTACGGCGTGCGGGCTGACAACGCCAGCAAGGAGACGCACCGCATCGACAACAACGGTGAGCCCGCGCCGCTCGCTCGCTCGCTCGTTGGCGCGTTTGGCGGCAGTGGCGGCGTGACGCCTTTTCCGTTGGCCGTTTGGCCGCTTGCAGGCTTCAACCCCACGTGGAACGAGCACTTCGAGTTTGACGTCCACGTTCCCGAGCTGGCCATCTTGCGATTGGTGGTGGAGGACTACGACGCCACGTCGGCCAACGATCTCATTGGCCAGTACTGCCTGCCGCTCACCTGCGTGCAGAACGGTAACGAGCTAGAACGGTAACGAGCCCGCCACGCCCCCCCCCCTCCCCTCACCTCGTCTCCGCACAACTTGCACGCTTCTCCCAATTTTCAAATCAAACATTTGCGGCTCGTTGTATTTGTTGTCATCTGTGCAGAAGTTGGGATCAAAGTGACCACATTTTGGGATTCATTCTCTCTGTGTGTGTGTGTGTGTGTCAATTGGACTTCAGATAAAGGGATTGAAATATTTTGGGATCATTTTGTTTTTCTTTGATTGAGGTGCTCCGAAGTGCATTTTGGGGGATGGGAGGGTGCACATCAAAATAACTGGTTTTGCCTTTTTGGGGGGTTGTATTTGGATAAAAGCAAGCAAAAACTTATTTTGTTTGTTTGGGGGGGGGGGGTATTTTGTGTAGTATTTCACAACACTAAGTCTACTATTGCAATGGAAAAAGTTTTTCTGTGAGCCAAGCGAAGCAAAGGTCGGAAGCCCCGCCCAATGAGTCCTTTTCTCCTTTCCGGTGTCATCGGACTCGTTTCCGGTGCGAGGCTCCCTGGGGAGCGGGAGAGTGAATGCCGCTGCATGTCGAGCGCCATCTGCTGGATGCAGCACGACAATTCAGGACTTTCTCTTCATATTTCTTGAGTTGTTTTTTTTTTTTTCCCTTTCCCAGGTTATCGGCACGTTCCGCTCCTGAACAAGAACGGCGACTTGATCTCGGCGGCCGGCCTATTCGTGCACGTCATGCTCCTGGACGCCGAATAACGCAAGAGAAAACCAAAGTTGCCACTCCAACCGCTTATGAGTGTTTTTTTCTTGATCTCCTCCTCCCCCCTGCAGAATAACCATGAACGAGCGACCGGAGCATTTGAATGCATTTGTCCCACTGGTGGTCACGAGCTCGGGTCGGACAGGACAACAATTGATACGCGTGCTCTTTTCTGACCCCAAGACATTTGATGGCGTTTTGTATCTTTTTGTCTCGACGAGCATCACGAGGCCACGTTTTTGTTATTGTTTTTTTAGGCCGAGTGATGTCAAGTCATCAACCGCATGAAAACGCGATTGGACAATGCGACAAGTGTACGCGTCACTGTGTTTTACGCTCCCTCATTAATAAAACCCTCAGCCTCAGCGAGGTGTTGTCATTTTGCATTGACGAAGACAAAAACAAAAAACACGGTTGATGTGCTGCTGTTTTGGTTTCTCGGGGGCCAGAATGGCAATTGCAACCTGCGATTGAATTACCCCAATTGCATCGTCCTCGGTGCAACTCGGGAGTGGCCCAATATTCCCGACGGGCCGTTTCGGCGCTGCCGTTTTGGGTAGCGACAAGTCAAATCATTTTCTTCAGCGTGATTTATGGCAACACAAATTGGGTTACAATTCATTGAACAGGAAATAATCGTGAGCCCGCACAGGCCGTTGCAGGTGGCCCGATTTCTTTCACTGGATATTCAAATCAATGAAGGACATGAAATGATCTTTTTCCTCTCAACCAGGGCTGGCCAAACGTTGGCGTGCAAAGGGCCACGCTTGACTTCTAAAAATGGACACAAATCGTCAATGAGGTTGAAAAAAAAAAAAACAAAAATCAAGGGGCTTGCATTAAAAACAAAACATCAAAAATTCAGTCGATTGCTTGTGAGTTTTCAAATAGCGTCAGGTTTGCTGCCCTTATATTGAAATGAACCCGTTTTCGAAAAGAAATGACTGAGCGAGCCTCATTTTGCCCGCCCCCCCCCCCCCCCCCGCCCGCGAGCCTCATTTTGCCCGCCCCCCCCCCCCCCTGACAGTGTCAGGCCTCCGCAATTGCTGATAAAAAGCGATTGGTTCTCTGTTGCCGGCGTTAAAAAAGTCCCGCCTTCTTTTTCAACTCCTTCTGCCGCCACGTCGCCAGGCGCTGGAATTCTAAGCGGCCCACGCCAAGCAGCTGCTCAAAGTCGGCGTCGGACAGGAAGTTCTGAGATGGAGAAGAGCGGGTTAGGGCTCACCTGCATCCTCATCCCCCGCCCCCCACGCAACCGATATTTGCCCTCTGACCTCTTTGTGGCAGGGGTCCACGCCCGGCGGCAGCTCCGAGGCGGCCTTGTGGATGAGGAGCTCGGGGGCCACGTGCTTCCCCCCGGCGGTTGCGGAGGGGAGACCCGATGCGCTCCGGCCGGCGGCGTGAGGGGACGAGTCCCCGACGCGACTCGTGTACAAAGGAGGCGGGCTCGCGGGGCCCCCGGGAGCCCGGGCACCGCCGCCCGAATTTAAAGTGCTGGCGCTTAGCTCCTGCGCGGCAAGAGAAAGAGAACGAGTGGCAACTTGTTTGGTTTTTGGAAGGAGCGGCCAGGGTTAGCGTTAGAAAGCGGGCCGAAAATCGGAGCGGGAATCTGATGGCCCGTCGCGGCTCTCGAGGTTCGATTGGCGCGACTTACCAAGATGCTCTGCGACAGCGACGCCTCGCCGTTCAGCTCCTTCTTCATCTGCTCGTAGGACTTGCCCGCCTGTCGACCAAATCCAAGCGGCCCCGCGGATGAATGGGCGGGCGCGCAATGACCGCGCGGGGGGGGTCGGATTGTACTCACGCTCCACTTGTGGGGGTCCCAGGCGTTAAACCAGCCGGTGAAGGTGGGGGGCTCGAAACCCTGCTTGACGGCGACCACGGCCGTGTCCTGCTGGCGGCCCGCCGGGTGGGTGCGCAGGTACTCGCGGGCGCAATCCCACGCCTCCTTGGTCTCGGACTCGTTGGCGGAGTTCCCCAGCCACAAGAAAATCTGAGGAAAACGCGGGGGCGGGTGTTGTTTAAATTGGCGGCCCCAGAAGAAGCCAATGGAGAGTGAGCGTTGACCTCCTCCCAGGTGTCCAGCAGCATGACGTCCTCCTCGTCCAGGTCGCTCTGCGCAAAGTCGTCCACCTCCGTCATCCGGAACCGGCCCGTCTGATTGGAGCATTCGAACAGGCGGGGGCTGTGAAGCGGCTCCTCCCTCTGGAGGCTGGGGGGTGGCGGGGGACACGGTTGGTCACTTCTTTGCACATCGAGCCATCGACGGCAAGCGCGGTCCTCAAGGGCCGCTTTTCAGCGAGGGTCCCCAACCGCCGCTGCGCATTCGAAGCCGCATTTCTTATTCCCGATGGGTCCCTTTCTTTCTAGCTCGCCTTGTTTTATTTTACGCTGCATTTGTTGAACAGTAGAATGACGCCTAACCCTAACCCCCCCCCCCTCCAAAAAAAGGTCGCATGTACTACTCTCAGCTGGCGAGCGGCACAAAAAAATGGTTGGGGAACCTCGCTTTCGACCATTTCGCCCCCCTCCAACACATCAGGCGGGTCTGCCGACGAGCCCGATCATTGTACTCGGTCGGGGGCGTTGGGGGAGGGAGAAGACGCGTGCCGAGTCAACGATCGTGGCCGGTGGCCCACGAGGACCGGCGTTCGAGGCCCCCGATGGCTCTTTTGAAAGACGCGGGCTCGGCGTTGACCTCTTGTCGCTGGCGTAGGGGGCCTTCCCTCCGAGGGCGAGCCAGAACTCGGCGGGCTCCTGGCCCTCCATCACCACCTGTTTGTCGCGCTTGGAGAGCACGTCGGCAACGGCCTTGGCCATCATCCTCTCGTCGCCGTTGCAACCCTGCGGCCAGAAAGACGCGAGCCGTCGACGTCGTCGCCCTCC